AGAGGGGCAGCCGCACGGGGCCGGAGCCGGGGGACAGGCAGGGGGCGGCTCAGCAGCGTGACGCCGCCAAGCTCGGCAGGGCTGGGCAGGAGAGCTTGGGACGGCCCGGCCCATCCTGGTGCTGGAGCAGAGAAGCTGCCCCCAGCCCCCAGGACGGGGTTGCCGCACTCTCGCCCCCCTCCCCGGCTGCCCACGCTCTTTCTGCGGGTCCCAGCCGAACGCAGCCCAGGCCTGGGGCCGGGGCCTGCCCCGGCTGCTGCCGGCCTGCTGGCCCCGACGGGCACCGAGTCCCCCAGGGCCAGGAGGGCCTGGGCTGAGGGTCTGAGCTCCCCAGGCTGCCGCCCTGCCTCCACGCGCCGGCCCCTGGAGGAAGGATTTACCTCTCCCTGCCCTGCTGCCTCACCTGCGGCCCCCGGGGCTGCCCCCGCGCTCCGCCGTCACTTCAGCAAGGATATGTCGTCGGCGAAGTCGTCGTGGTCCCGCCGCAGGCAGTGGAAGCAGCGCCACTGGAACACCATGAGGCAGAGGGGCAGCATGAAGAGGGCGCAGATGGCTGCCATGACGTAGGCGATGGTCATCAGGGTGGACTCGTCCGTCTGCGGGATGTTGTAGCCGCAGTCCTCCATGTTGGAGTGCGGGTAGGGCCCCTCCACTGCGGCCGTCCGAAACTCGTCGTGCACTGCGGGCGGGAGGAGGCAGGGCTCTGGCCACCGCGCTACCGCTGCGCGTCCGCGTCCCCTCCGCCTCTCCCTCCCTCCGGGCCCAGCCCTCACCGTGGCAGGCGCAAGCCGATACGCTTGCGGGCGCGGTCGAAGACCACGTAGAAGCCCTCCATGATAACGGCGCCCATGACGGTGCCCGTGGAGGACTGGGAGATGGCGAACTTGTAGCAGTCGTCCTGAGAGGTGGCCACGTCCTCCACCGGGCGCAGGTATTGCTGCGGGAGGAGAGGCGCCGTCAGGGCCGGGGCCGGGGCAGAGCTCCCCGGGGCGGGCGGCGGTGCCCGCCCGGCACGGTCCTGCCCACGCGACCAGCTCCAGCCCGCTCTCCAGCTCGGCCGCGGGCACGGGCCGGCCGGGGCACCC